TCCCCTTATTAGGGTGTCCATTTGGAGACTGAGCTGCCATAGGCTACATCTGTGCAAGGGTTCTAGGTTATCTCCATGAATGGTCCTAAATTGGAGTATCAGTCTAAGAATGGCCCCTGTGCCCAGACTTTTTGGTTTTGTTGTTCTCCCGAAGACTGGGCATAATGCCTCCTGCACTGACAATCATGGCTTGGAGCCATCTTCTCTTCTTGGCAAACAGGGCACTGATAAATGGAGATGTATAGTCAATCAACCTCTCTTACATGCACTACTGTTTTAAAAGTTATTATAGAATTCTATTCTCTTAAAATAATCAGCTACAAATAATCCTTGTGATAATGAAGCTTATTTAGCTGCTAGTTATTCTATTGTCCAATCATATTTTGGGGTAGTGTAGTTTTGTTCTGCTTTAATCATAAAGTGGTTGCCAAAAAGGTTTGTGTCATGGTTTTAACATGAAGTTATGCTTTCAAATCGACTATAAGATGCCACCGACTGCAGAACCCATCATTCTATTCTTTAAACTAAAAGAGAAAAATTAAAAAAACAAAAACAAAAACTGAGCATCTTAGAGCTGATCATTATGGCATTATCACCAAAAAGCATTTCCTAAAGTCTCTTGCTAATTTTGTGAGATTTGGTTAAACCAAGAATGAATAGTATGATCCACATATCCTGTTACTACGGCTTATTTGGCATTGTCTTAAATGAAGGAATGAATTAGAACATTCTTTAAGCATAGTAAACTCTTATGACATCCTCAATGATACTGAGGTATTTACTCAGGGGACATATCAGTGTCTGACGTACAACCTTAGTAAGCTCACCACTGGCTTGTCAGTATATCCATTAACTATGACTTCAAATGTGCTTTATTTATTTAAAATATTCATCTACCTGAAACTATTGTCAGTGGCTGAACCCAGTTTGGAGTCTCCAGTAGGTAGATTAGCTCCATTAGGAGATGCCCATGAGGAAACACTGGCCCCTCTTTCCTCCCTCCTGTTACCCACTGTTAATTAAGACGTGGCAATCATTTGAAACTCTGGATTGATTCATCATATTTTCTTTCAATTCTTTTACAAGATACATAAAGCTCCATTTTAGTAATATCCGAATAAGATAGAGATTTAGTGATTCTGGGACCCTTTTCTGCCCTCCCAGCATGCACTCATACACACACACACACACACACACACACACACACACACACACAAACACACACACCCTCCAAACTATGCCTCTCTCCTTTTATCCACAGTGAGCATATTATAGCGATGTTCATGCTGGCATTCAGACTCCTGACTGTCATAACCGTGCATTAGTATATGTAATGATTTCTTTTTCCTTTGGGATATAATCTTTTACCTTTCCTTGGACTTAATAATCTGTCCTTTTTCCTTAAGGGACATGCTATTTGTTTTTAATGTACCTGCCACTATTTTAGCACCTTTTAAGCAGTGAATATTTTTCTTTCTCTTGTCAAATATACTAGGTGGAGGTCGGCTTTCCTGTACTTGTGCAGGATCCCTGGAGCGCTACAGAAAGTATCCGCACACATTACATAAGCTGCCTTTGCACTTAAATATCCCTTTTAACTGCCATTCTCAGGGTTCTTACAGTTTTCTTCTCTGCTGATACCCCTTTTCCTGTCTTCAGCCTTGCACTTTTTGGAATACACCCCTGTCTGTCAAGCAGTGAGAAGCCAGCCTATGTCTTTGTATCTCGTAAGAGGTTTTCTCCCATCCACCTCTTAATGATGAACTTGCCTGGATCTAGGATTCTGGATTGGGAAAATGCTTATATATATTAAAGATATTTTTCTGTTGTTTTAATATTGCTGTTGAGAAAGTCAACAGCATCTTCATCCTTAGTCATACTGTGAACTCCTTTGCTCTCCACGGAATGTTGGATGAGCTGGTCTCTCAGTGTTCCGATGTTTGTAAGCCTTTGCCCTGCTTCAGGTCTGGCTTTTTTCCCCCACAGTAATAGTGACTTACAAGAGTATTTTAACCTGGAATATTCTGTCTTTTCTTTTTAGAAATAAGTTTTATTCAGTTATTTATGAACATTGCCTTCCTCTCTGTGTTCTCTGTAATTGGAACTGGTATAGGTTTTATGCGATTCTTAGAAAATAACTGGTTTTGTTACTCCTATAGGAGAATTTCCATATCTTCATCCTTTTCACCGTAATTTGGAAAGTTTCCCACTTTAGTCTTTACATGGATTTTGTTCGTGTCTTTGAAAATTTCAATCATATTCATTCCCTCCTTCAACTTGCCGCAGACCCATGCTTACTTATCCAACTTACTCATCCAACTTTATCTTCTCTGTCTTTTCCCTTGAAGCCCATTGAATCCAAATTGTGTTGTCTATATAATTTTGAATACTGCAGCTTGGTCAACCCCCCCCCCCAACACACACACACAAGGGCTGTACCCTTGAAGAAAACTGATTGTCCCTCCCCAAGTATCTATTTTGCCAGCTAACTGACAATAGCTCCTCAGCTGGACCTTGTTCCTACCTCCTTCTTCATGCTGGAATTTTGTTCTGTTTGAGCTTGTGCAGATTTTGTGAATTCTTTCACAACCGCTGCTAGTTGATATATGCAACTAGCTTGCTAAGTCTAGAAAATACTGTGTCTTTGTAGCCATGCACTGCCTCTGTCCCTTACACTCATCCTACTCTGTTCTTTAATGATCACTGAGTCTTGGAAGGCAGGGGTGTGAAAGAAGTGTGTTAGTTTGGGAAGAGCAAATTCTGAACTCTCATATTCTCTACACCTTGACCAGTTGTGTTAACATCCACCTACTGCATAAAAACAGTCTCTCTGATAAGAGTTGAGAGACAGGCTCATCTGTCCTGATATTAATTTCTCAGACTTGTTCATTGTTGTTCCTAGCACATTTTATGGCATTATATCATTTTTATCAATGTGGTATTCATTTATGTCTTTAAATAATATAATGGATTTCTGGTGGTTTATCTTCTTTTCATTTTCTTCTCTTGTATCTGTGTCTTCCTTCTTCAAATTAAAAATACACAGTTTGAAGGGGAAAGGAGCAGTTGTGGGGAGGAAGGTTAACATGGAGAGAAATATGAGAGGATGTAGTAGAGGAGTGAGGATAACTAATATTAAGGATATTTATAAAGGCCACATAGAAACCTACTATTTTATAAGCTTTGTGTGCCTGTATATGTTTGATATTCATATAAAGCGTTTTGTTGGAATTACCCGACAAAGGGAATAATGATCAGAGGTGTCCTGGAGATCCCTCAAATAATACAAGATTGCTAAATCTTGTCCTATAAAAGATTTTGATTCTGAAGATTTGGGGTGGAGCCCCACAACAGGAGGCAAGTCGGCTTCCCAAGGGCCATTTGGATGTATCTGAAGACATTTTCCATCATCAGGCTGGAGAGTGGTGTCTCTTCCTGTGTTTAGCAGTAAGAGGCCGAGGATGTTGCTAACTATCCATCCTGGTTAGAGCTAGTGTTGTCATATTTAACAGGAACAAGATTTAGCAATCTTTTAAGAAACCTTTCAGCTCATTCTGAGGCAACTGAGGCTCCAGAACACTGGTCCTTCCTGTTTCTCAGCCAGGGCATCTCAGAGGAGCAGATACTTATAAAGCTTTAGGCCCATTGCTCAGCAGGGTCAGAACATTGGGTGCTCAGAGTCAAGGCAGCATCTAAAGGTCTAGTCCAGAGCAATATGCTTCTCAGAATTTTAGAAGGCAATGAGACCTAAGGGGAAACTGGGAGTCCAAATGTTCACTAAAAGCATTTTTTAAAGTAAACTCACCTCATTAACCCTCTTGCATGTAGATGCCTGACATTATGACTTGTGCTAACTCATTAAGCTTACTTTATTCATATCTCCTAGACCCCAAGTTTTAGTCTCATCTTCACAAAACAAAAACTTCTGATGACAAATTGCCTTCTGCTTTAGAACTACCTGCAGCAGCTGTGCTCTGCCCTGATAGCAAAGTTGAACCACGGAGTACCAATCCCCAATCCCCACCCAAGAACAATTAAATTGGAATCTCTACAGGTGGTATCCTTGTGCGTCTCAGATGAGTCTTACACAGACATGGGCTTGGAAACCACAGGCCTGTGGGGGAAATATGTTACTTCATCTCTTCAGTGGCAATATTCCAATTGCTTTAGTGGTTATATTTCTCATCATAAATTATAAATTTAATAATCTGGCTTATACTTTATATTTTCTGTGTTTCTTAAATCCGTTCTGGGATCCTGACCAAACTAGTTCTCAAGCCCATGGCCAAATGTCAGGTCCCAGGGTGCAGGGCTTTAGTTGAGATATCCCTGCTTTCCTGCCCCACCTGCTGGCCTTTCCTCTTTCTTCCTGTCTGTCTCTTAAACCTAGCTCAAACTTCAATTACTTTTTAGGGCTTTGTTCCACTAACTGTAAGGAAGAAATAGCTGCAAACCTTGGTTTTCAAATATGGAGGCGCTTTGATGGTAAGGTAATCTGGCCTTTGGATACAACTCTAATTTATAAGAAACACGGAAGGCGGTGGAACTAATTAAGCAACCACAGGAACTACAGGGAAGAATTTTGACTAAGCCAGAAGGCAGACACTTAATAATATAACTGGCCCATCTTTGGAATGAGTCACTGTCATGAAAACAAACAGACCAAAAAATGCCACAGAAATAATGGTATGATACTAAAATAAAGGATATTTTTGCTTAGTTAAAAGACACAAATAAGAGGTACTATGCAGTCTTCAATTAGATACCACTTGGATAAACCAGCTATAAGTAACATTCTTACAAATTCCACAGGGGGAATTTGAGTGTGGTCTGAATACTCAGTAGCTACCGTTGTGTGTGTGTGTGTGTGTGTGTGTGTGTGTGTGTGTGTGTGTGTGT